ACAAAAGATGAGATGGAGAACAGAATATAACCCTAGAGTTTTTCTGAATCAAGATTTTATTATTGTTTTTATGGTTATCTTTTTTTTTTTTTGTATATTTGTTATTATTCCATCCACAATTCCACAAGTATTCCTATTCTTTGAGCTTTGAAATATATTGAATTGAACAAGCCATTGTGTAAAGTCCTCAAGCCCAGCAAAACTTTTGTGCAATCACTAATACTCTCACTCCCCTTGGAATGCTTTTATGAAAACGATTTTCATAAATTTCAACCCGAGGAAGGGACTTTACCCCTTGGACCCCACTACCCTCGGATTTCTGCTAAGAAATTTGTAATATCATTTAACATATGTTAATATGTTAATGGCATCTACTCCGTGTCTCAAAATTATGGTCTCACTTTGAACATCATGCAAAATTTTATCTTTTTTAAAATTTATTTTGTTTACAAATCGAAATGGATTGTTCTAGAAAATCTTTCTTGTTTTGACTTCTTTTTGTTGAATTGTGATATTCTTTGATCATAAATATATAAAAGAGTATATTTAACTATAATGGAATTTTAATATAATTGGTTTTTCAAAAAAATTACTCCCTTTGTACCAAATTACATTGCGTGTTTATTATTCACAGCGTCGAACTTCATATACTTTGTATTCCTATTTACGTTAGTCATTTGATAAAATAATATATATAGTCATGTCACTTCTAGTTTCGTAAATCTTTTGATGTAGTTCTAAAATAGGACAAAGATCTTTTGGCTTTAGAATCTCGGGTCATATTATGACCCAGGGCTCCTACGGTGCTCCGTTCGTAAAATTGATGGTCCACCCCACACCCTGCCCCCCCCCCTCTCAATTTCGTCGATTGGCTATAGTATATTTACTATAGCCAAATAAAGTAGCCAATCGGTGAAATGGGGAGGGGGAGCAGGGGTACTGTGGTGGGATGGGCAGGTAGGGTTCAGGGGGTGGGGTTTATGGGGGTAGAAATCATCACTGTATGAACGGATCATCGTAGGGACCCTAGGTCATAACATGACCCGAGGTCTACGGTCAAAAGAATCTTTTTGTTTAAAATATGTAATTTTTATTTTTTTAATTCTACATCATTTTTTATATAAAATGATTTGAAAATAACTTCAGTCAAATATCGTAAACTGAAATTGGCGATTTAAATTGGGACCGAAGGAGTATGTTTTTTTTGTTTCTTTTGGGTGTGGCTGTTGAAATTGAAGAGGGGAAATGTTTACCTTGAGGCTGCAGATGATTCATATTTTGTGTTAGGCCCATTTTGCTTTCCCGCACCGGATATATAACTATATTGTTCACTTCTTCATAAATGCCCAGTTCCATAAACCAATTGCTTCTCTTACACCAGCTATATCATCACATCAACATCAAGCTTTACCGTGACTTTGAAAATTTTTAATATCAAAATTTTTTATATCCACTGCGTATCTCTGTTATTAAAGCTTAATATGATATTGCTCGTGTACGCTTTTTTTTTTTACTAAAATGACTTCAAAAATTATTTAGATTTTTTTCTTCATATTTTCAACTTTATAATGTGACTCGACTAGATTCATACCCGTTCAATGCACCAAATGTGAAAAGCACACAGATGCACAGTAATCAGGGAACCTTACCCTTCTTATATCCACTGCGTATCTCTGTTATTAAAGCTTAATATGATATTGCTCGTGTACGCTTTTTTTTTTACTAAAATGACTTCAAAAATTATTTAGATTTTTTTCTTCATATTTTCAACTTTATAATGTGACTCGACTAGATTCATACCCGTTCAATGCACCAAATGTGAAAAGCACACAGATGCACAGTAATCAGGGAACCTTACCCTTCTATGAAAAAGCACACCAAATGGTTTTCTGAAACTTAGCCATATATACCCATGTAACTCGACATTATTATTATTGAGAAATATAACTCGTCATGGTACCAAAGCCCTAAAAATCTTACGATATCCTCTCTCTTCTGAAAAATCTCATTTCGAAACCTTCTCTTCTCCTTTTGCCGATCGTAAATCTAATCTCCTTTAGCGATCATGGCCGGCGATGTTAATAGCGTCTATTCCATACGTCTCAAAATTATGGTCTCGTTAAGCAAAATTTTATCTTTTTTTGAAATTAATTATGTTTACAAACCGTATGAAAATAAAAATACGAATTACATACTACATTTGTGTTGAAACACGGGTTTACCACTTTATCGTACTGAAGCCATGTTTGTTTTTATGACAGGTTTTGATAATGCCAAACCGCCGTGAATGAGGCAAATAGTTGAACACACAAGGCGAGAAACAAAGACGAGAAGAAAGAAAAGAGAACAAGAGCTAAAAGAGACTAAGAACGAAGACCATAGTTTTAGTGTCGTTGAGTCGGTCACAAATGTGATCAAGACCGACCCAACCTTTGCACTTTGGCTCTTTAGGCTAAAACATTTTTCATTGCATTTCACATATCATCAAAATGATTTTCAAACATGTTTAAACATACTAAAAACACTTGGTGTTCACCCAAACAAAAAACAAAGCCACCCGGTGTTCGGGTTTCAGAAACCGGCATTCAGTTTTCAGAAACCGGCGTTGGCATTCGGTTATCAGCGTCGGTTTTTGGCGTCCGAACCAACCAAGTGGTTTTCAATTTTTTATGATTGGTTTTTATTCTTGGGCACATTTAAATAGTTCTCCAACAAAAACACTTTAAAAACCACCTTTCGTTTTTGGTCGTTTGGCAAAAACCATGCGAAGCGGCATAAACTTAGCTAACCGTGATTTTTACTTAAATGACGTGGTTTTTAAGGTGTCTCACTTGATTTCTTAGCCAAATACATTAAATAAGTGTTTTAAACACTTGATTTTTATTTTGGAGAACTTTGCATTTTTCGGTCGGTTTTAGCATCGGTTGGTTAGGCCATGGTTCAGGCAAAAATCATAGGTTTTTGACTAGCCATCAACCCAGTGATGGGAGGTATTACCCATCGATGGGTAAGCGGTCCTCAGCTCAACCAAATTCCAGAACCATGCCAAACAGCGATGTGAAGTTCCACCCATCGCTGTACAAGCCTTGGTTCAATATCATCACCAGGCAGAATGCCCTCACCCAGTGATGGGGACTTGAACCCATCGATGGGTACCCAGCGATGGGAGGGCATACTCATAGCTGGTTAGGCATGACCGTTGTGAGTCATTTAAGCCTGATTTTTTCCTTGTTTGAAAGTCAACCTCCCATCGAGCGATGAGAAGTGTTTACCCATCGATGGATAGGTGACCATTACCTTCAAAACTGAAGAAAAAATGGCTTACCAGCGATGGGTAGTTCCATACATCGCTGGGTAAGCTAATTTCCTGCAGATCCACTTTAATATCAATCCCACAAATCAAGCTAATCACCCCTTAAATGTTTTGATCCGTTGGAGCCTATTTTGGCACTATAAAAAGGGATGTTTGGGTCTGCATTACACACCAATTCACTTCACATTACCCATATTATCATTGCATTCATACAACATCATTTTCCATAGCTTTCTAGAGCCAAATTGTATGAAGTTTGAGTTGTTCTTGAGTGTATATAGTTTACTCAACATCTACTCTTAAAAAGAGTCTTGTTCTTGAGTTTATTTGTGTTCTAAGACACTTTGAGAAAAAGTATTTCTCTCGTTTGATTCGAAGGAAGGGTTGTTTCCTTTGAAGGACTTGTTGAGGTTCGTGTAACTCGAATTCTCAAGTTGTAAGGGTTTGTTAAGCACCGTTAAGCTTAACGAGGAAGTAGTGTAGCTCGAGAGAGTCTCTCGGGAGGCTGGATTAGCCACACATTGTGGTGAACCAGGGTAAAATCGGTGTGCCTCTTATTCTTCGTTCCTGTTTAAATCGTCTGTTTCTGTTTTACAATGTTTGACTAAGTAGGGAATCAATTTAGAGATATGAGATTAAAGATGGATACAAGTGGCTATAAGGAAAAAAGAGGTGCCTAAATGGAAGGAATGGGTATGGAACATATGTTTACTCCCTAAAATTCAGGTGGTGTTTTGGCTAATTATGAGAGGTAGACTCCAAACAAAAGATAAATTTTTAAAATATATAAAGCTTGATCCTATGTGCTGCCTTTGTGGACAAGATAATGAGACAGTTGCTCATTTGTTTTGGAACTACACATGCTAAGAAAATGTTTCAATTATGTGAAGCTTATCAAATGCACGTTGATCACATCCCTAAAAATCTTACGATATCTTCTCTTCTGAAAAATCTCATCGCCAAACGTTTCTCTTCTCTTTTTGCTGATGACAAATCTCATCTCCTTTAGCGATCATGGCAGGCAATGATGACAACTCCTCCACCACCTCCAATGGCAACCCTACAACTTTCCCTCATCTTGCCTTCACCACCATCTCCAACATCAAACTCCATACCCCGACTCAACTCGGTATATCGAAACCTAATTTCAAAAAAAATGGGGTAGTTTATTTCACCTTCTCGTTCAAAGCCCCAACCACCAAGGCTATTTCATTGGTGTCGTCACTCCCTCGGATGATGATGACGTCGAATGACTCCAATTGGATACTCCTCTTCAATGGTGGGTCCTCTCCACCATCTCCGACGAGGTATCTGACCCTCCAACTCCTATGCTCATGCTCTCTGGATGGCCATCAACCACCTATTTCATGGCAACAAGCAAGCCCGGGATCTTCTGCCCAAAACAATTACTTAAGCTCAACACCATAGCCACACCCCCCCCCCCCAACTTTGCAATGCTTTGAAAGATGCAAACTGATATGCAACAATGTGTAAATAATTTAATGCCTTGATTAAAAATCATACATGGGAATGATGGGAAATAATACCCCCTCATGCCTCACCCCCAAACCAAAATATTATATCTTGTAAATGGGGTAAATTGTTCAAGTACAAAGCTAAATAGGTGGTCCAAGGATTCAATCAGCGTTATGTTGGATTAATAATAATGACAACAATTCTTGCAAAGGAAAGAAATGATTGTCTATTATGACTTTTAGATACATTAGATTTTGAACACATGTAAACAAAGAGTATGTCCACATTCATTTGATTTTTACTGTACCCCGGAATATCGTGAAAGTCTAATTAGCCAGTTATTTAGGAATGGCGGGAGTATGAAATTGTTCGTTTTCATCCTTGGGCAGCTTGTTGAGCTATCCACATTTCAGCTGCAGCAATGATTCTCCAATCATTAGCATTCTCATTTCGTCGATTTCATGTTCGAAAATCATCTTATTCAAAATTGGAATTCATTTGAACGACATGCAAGTGAGAAGAAAATTGTGTAGTCTTGCAAACACAAAAAACCATCTCCACTTGTGTCTCATATAGAAATAATGGTGGCACTGAACTAAACTGAACCAAACTTAATAGCAGCCAAATAAGTTAAGCGAAAACTACATATTCGGCCAGGAACAAAGGATACAAGGAACACACAGAGACAGAATCAATTCTGCAAATTTGAAGTGTGTAATATCCTCTCAGCCAGAAGCAAATCATCGGGAGTTGTAACCTGCAAAGCAAATAAAAATGCATTTTTGTCCCACAAGTTGGCGCATAAAATGAAAAGAACAATGTGTCGAAAAAAAGAATTTAAAAATACCTTGATATTAGTGTAAGAGCCATGTGTAATGTAGACCGGATGTTTAAGGTGCTCGACAATAGACACATCATCTGTCACTTCAAGACCTTCCCTGCAAACATGCGAATAATCAGATCATCCTCTACCTTTAATTTCTCAAGACTCTGATTGCTGCAATTCCTTTAGAGCAAGTTTGATAATGAAAAGAAAGTTCCAAGTTTATTATTTTATTTTTTTTGTGGGTATTTTATCAGCTAACACCGCTAAAATTGATGAAATTGATTACCTATTGACAAGCTCAAACCCTTTCTTAAGCAAATCCGGCTTGATTACCTGTACTAGAACGGTTAATTGACTAGCAAAACAAGATTTCTTTTGACAATCCCATCAAGAGGCAATTTTAACTCAAATATATGTACAAACCTGTGGGGTCTGCATTTCCCAAAGCGTCTTTCGGTTTAGAGTTCTCACAACATAGGATTCATTATTAGCCTGCAAATCATCCATTGGTGATGACATTCATCGAAATCATTATGAAATTTAACATAAAACATAATTTGACTAAACTGATAGTCAGGTAACATTAAACATATACCTCCTTGATAGTTGCTTTAGCAGGAACTCCAAGAACAGCTGCTCCAACAAGCATACCATCCATTAGGGCCTGCAAATAATCCAAAAAAAAAGGGAGATATATACTAAGGCCTCACTTTATACTCTTCTAATCATCTTCCTCAACCCCTCAAAATATTAAAGAATTCACGCATGAAAAAAAAATCATTACACAATGCTTCCTACTTTGCATTTCAGTTTTATTTTAATTTATTTTAAATTTTATGAAGTATGTGCCCCCAATAAAAATAATTTTTGGATTCACCATTGCAGTGACAATGAGTTGAGATATTTAATATTGTAATATTGCATAACACGATGGGTATTGTAAAATCAATGTATGGAATCATTGTATTGTGTTTAGATTTTTCTTTGAAATAATTAATAATAGTAGAAATCATTTATACAAATCAAGAAGAAAAGTATAATTTATATTTTAGAAATTTGATGGAAAAGAAATCTAAAAACATAAAAAGCAACATTACCAAACAAACCCTTAAGGTTTAATGATCTAACCTTTTCTATATCTCCTGGAGATACTAGAGGTCTTGCAGAATCATGGATGCAAATGAGTTCAGAGCTCAAATCAACAACCTGATACATTAAAAAACACGCGTGGCTAGAAGATTAAGAATAATTTCTGAGAATTGGGATGAATGCTTGTATATGATGAAAGTTGGGAAATATCCACTTATACATACATTTTAAATGAATGCTAGTTGAAATGCAAGAATCTTTAATCTGAGAAAGTTGTTGCTGTGTACCTGAAATCCATTATATACAGAATCTTGCCTCTCTTTTCCAGGCAATGCATATTTCAATTCAATTTCGATCTTTTCTCTGGTGTCTGAACAAAAAAAAGGGTTATATATAATCTAATGGATGACGTTACGTGAAAAGTCCAAAGAAGCAGGGAAAGAAAAACGAAATCTTGAATAAATTAACACTTTCTCCCCATTAAAAAGGAAAGAAAGCCAACTGCAATTACTGACTCCATTAGAAGTGCATTGCTGAATTCATAAATTTAAAACCAATACCTCCATACCTTCAAAAACATCTTTATAAGATGGATCACATACCACAACAATTTCTTTCACTTGAGGCAACTTTGAGAAAGTGTAGAAACTGAAACGAGTAGAAACAACGAATTACAAAAGCGTTCACAAATGCTAATATCAAGGCTTTCCACTAACCTTTGTAATCAATTTTTTCCCACTTTACATGCAAATCCAAACTGTGTGATTGATAAATGAAATCAACCAGGAATCAACAGCTCATTAGAATTCAATTGGGATTTAGGCTGAAGAATCAATAAAAATTTCCTATTTACCTGTATAATGCAATCGGTTGACCTAGAAGTGGAAGATACTGCTTTGGCATGCTCCCCTATAAACATAGAATTTAGGGAAAGTATCAGAAGACAATGACAAGTATGAATATAAGATGCACCACTTTGCATTTTTAAAAAAAAATCTAAACCTGATTTTACCTCATTCTTCTGTTCAAGTTCAGATTTCAGAGTGGCAATTATATATTATACTTACACCCATTCTTTTTCCCATCCCTCCTGCAAGAAGAATCACTGAAACACTTCTCTCTTTCCCCACAGAATCTGCGCTCCGCTGATTGCAAGACCGATTAAACTCTCAAAATCAATAAAATCCCAAACTTTTTTTTCTCGAAATAAATCAGAAAAGAATGCATAAAAATATGTATACACTGTGATCTTCTCTGGGCACTGCACTAAGAGTGATTCTTGAATGGGCACGTCTTAAATTCCTCAAAGAAACGATTTTTCGGCTGCGAGTTTGTGGAAATTGAGGATCGTTCGGAGAATACGGCGTTGGGTAGTGTATTGGGGGACTGGATTTCGAGAACAGCGGAGATAGGTGAAGGCCGATCTGAAGACGGGACATGATTGGAAGAGAAGAGCTTTCTTCCCGACTTGCTTGCGAAGAACTTTTCTGGTGCAAATTACGTAGTACGGACTACGGAGTATCTTTGATGAAACCTTTGAAACTTTTTGTTTTTGTTTCTATTTTTATTTTATTTTATTTTCTTTGGTTGAAACTTGAAACTTGAGTACTTATTTATTCAGTGTGAATGTCCCATGTGTCTTTGAAACTTTTCTTCTATTGGTGAAACTTTTATGGATAAAGCTATTTGTACCCCAATTTTTATACTCCATTTTGTACCCTACAAATTTGCACCAACACTTTGTGTTGGTGTAAAACTAATTTTTATTAATGCACCAATAGTTTATGTCCGTGTAAATTTTTGTTAACGCACAAACATTTGAGTCGGTATAAGCCATCAAAATATTTGTGTATAACTATGGTGTATAAATGGGGTACAATTTGTGGTGTAAGTGTAGCATGGCCCAACTTTTATCAATGATCTTACACTTGCACCAACAAATATACCCTAGAATTAAACCAAAGATATATATATATATATATATATATATATATATATATATATATATATATATATATATATATATATTAATATTTTGATAGTTCACACTAACATAAAATGCTGGTGTTTTAAAAAAAATTATAATAACAATTAATGTTTGTGTTAACTATCATTCTAGAACATACTCCCTACGTTCCAGAGTATTTGTCCATTTTCACTTTTACACACCATCCAATGCACTTTTTTAATCCATTTTATCTTGTAATTTGTATATTAAAAAATTATAGAAATTATATATTAATAATCTATATGTTAAGACAAATCAAACAAGATCACACATGACTATATTTAGGCTTACACATTGAGAGAATTTGATGAGTCAAAGTACTTAAATGAACAGTTCTAAAAGTCAAAAGTGGACAAATATAGCGGGACGGAGGTAGTAAAATGAAAGTTCACATACGGAGTATATATGGTGTACAATTTGAAATACAAAATTTGGGATACAAATAGCATTATAGCACTAGGGAGGTTTTATAGCTCACTAGGGAATACATAGGCGGGGTGTTAGGTTAAATCTGAATGAGGAAGATTTATGTTCTATGTTTGGTTGAAGAAATTTCGAAAAAGAGGATGAACCTCATCTTTGAGGACTCGTTCTGATCCAGACGATCATTGAGAGAAGATAAATTAAACTTTGATCGCAGATTAGTGACAAATAGTAGAACATGTACCTTGCAGAGGTTCTATGTTTAGCAGGATTGCCTCCCAGTGCAATTGTCAGGAACCGAACTCTGGTCTTACCCCCTTTGGTACTCCTTACCTTTGCCAACTGATTGCAAGATTGAAGAAAATGAAGCGAAAATGTTTTTCTCATTTCCTTTCCAAAATGTAGTTTCATAATCTTGAGATCTATATGTGAAATGTTGATCTCCTTACTTTCTTATTTCCCGACATGAAGATTTTTTATTTTTTAAACAAGACAATTCATTCATGGTATTTATATACCAGCGTCCATAAAATGGGGGAGAACTCTATGACCATAGACGAATTTGGTCAAAGTAGATAGAATTCAGTTTTTCTTCCATCTTATTAACCTACTTTGATTTTTTTATATTCTTTTTCTTCTATTTTGATTTTTGACATAAAAAATTATTGTTCTTTTGAAAATTGATGGTTCCTAGTTCCTACCACCTAACCCTCCATAAACCCCCATACATCCGCCCTCTCCCCCTCCCCTCGAACCCCAGTAACATTCTAGCCAATCAACATTTTGGGGAGTGCTAGGGTGAGGCAAAAGGGGTTTAGGAGAGTTAAGAAGGGTAGGAACTATCAATTTTGTGTGACAACTAAATTTGTTGTCAAAAGAAGCCGCCGTTTTATATTTCATTTTTCCCCTTTCAAATTTGTTGAACAAAATATAATGTAAAAAATCTGAGAGAGTAATTTGGTGGTAACATTTGTGGGCTATATATTGATGATTAAGGTACTATTACAAGAACAACCTAGCATTAGACCATATTCTAACATGTATAAATTGATAAGAGAAACTCTTTTTGTCCTAAAAATATCGTCCTAATTTGATTTTTGTGGCTCATTTGACCAAAAATTATACCGAGTATATGAATATAGTTTGAATAGATAAATGTGATTAGAATTTGATATATCAAAATTATGTCTTAAAATAAACTCAATTACTTTTCATATTATATTTACATTATAACTAAATAACTTTTTGGATGCCGTGTCGAGGGGATGTTAGGGATAAGAACCATCAAGTTCGCGAACGGAACACCGTAGATGCCCAAATTAAATTGTTGTAGACTTGTAGGATTGTTATATTTTAAACTGATTCTATTTTTAATCTTCTGCCTTCCCTGAGCTCGAATCTGGGTAAACTTTCTTATGAATCTTGGGAAGTGGGCAACCCCATTGAGCTTGACGATGGGAGCATTGGGGTGGCCATTTATTTAGAAGGAAAAAAGAGGGTTATAAATACAATGTGGGAAGACATCGCCGTTATAAATACAAGATGGTTGAATAAGGGCACCACCAAAAGCACACTGTTGGAGAAGCATGAAGGAGGAAATAAGATGATGTGGACATGAAAAGAAGAAAAGAATGATTTGAAAGAAGAAGGGAATAGAGAGAGGAGGTGGGGGAAGGGAATAAAAATATTTAGATATATATGCACATCAAAACTAGTGTAAGTTAAATATTGGTGTACCTTAAAAAGATAAAAAAATATATAAAAATTACATCAAAAGTTATACTCCCTCCGTCCCCCTAAGATGTTCTCATTTTGACTTTTGGTGGTTTTTAAGGAGAGTTGAAAAAAGGTGAAAGTTTACCATAATACCCTTAATGAAAAATGGGTGGAGTGTATTAAATGAGGTGGGTAAGGTGTAATAAATAAAGTAAGTGGGGGTAGTTGTGGTATTTTAACTGTTAAAAAATGAAATGAGAAGATCTATTGTGGACAAAGAAAAAAGGCTATTGGGAAGATCTATGGAGAACAGAGGAAGTATAAAGTAAGATGCAATAGGAGGATATCTTTTTTTACCAAATGAACAATGAAATTCTTTTTGAACGGAGAGGAGAGTATTGATTTAATATATAACTCTTTATCTTTAAATTAAATTCAAACATCGCAAACCAAAATATAAAGTTTATTTATGGAGAGATGGGGTAATATAGAATCAGCCAGTTATAGGAGGTGCAGTAAAAATAGTACTCCACTCTAGGTAATAAAAAGACACAGTGCAGACTACAATGTTAGGGACTGGGATCCTAAAAATCAGTTACACCAAATGTCTTGGCTCGATTGAAGAAGACAAGTTCATGTTTGATTTTATTGATAAACACAACAAAGATGATACAGTAAAGAAACATAATAGGTTCCTTAAACACACACACTGCTTCTGCTCGCCTCAAGAATTGGTTCCTCTGCAGAACAAAACGAATATGGGGTGAATATATTTATGCCTATCGGGCAGTATAAGGGGATTTAAGGGCTATGTTGAAAAGCAGCTCAACAATGGGAAAGGGAAAGATTAAATAACGGGGGCGTTTGGCTGACATTAGCCCCCATGTCATCATCCTATGACATGGGCCCCGTATGGGTCCCTACGATGCTCTGTTCGAAAAAATGATAATTCTTACCCCCTAGCCCTGCCCTCTCCTTCCCCACAGTAAACCCCCACCCCAGCCCGACCCGAACTCACCTCCACCCACGTCAATTGCACCTCACAAATTTTAGTTGACTTTAGCGTCAAAATTTGACTCCAAAGTCAACTAAGTTTTGTGGGGTGCAATTGACGTGGGTGGGGTGAGTTCAGGTAAAGCCGGGGTGGGAGGATTTGCCGGGGGTTAGGAGGGTAGGAACTATCAATTTTTCAAACGGAACAACGTAGGAACCCCGGGTCATCCCTTGACATTGATTTCCAATGTCATGAAAACCAAACCGTTAACTAATAGCATGTTTATAGTTAGCCCAAATGTTAGTTATCCCTACACCAGCAACATGACAGATTAGTAGCTTACGAATGTTGTGCCACTTGCACTCTTGTTTACACTGATGATAAAACACAACATTGTATTAGTACCCCTCTCGGGTCCACAACTTCAGAGACATGTTTTCAAGATAAAGCGTCTTTTTAAGATATCAAGGTAGAATTTTACTTCATCTTTCTTGTGTACAATGATAAACAAGTTCAATATATTGGTTTGTCGTTGTTTCTAATTTACAGTGATTTGCATACATTTATGGGTTCTTTTCCAGCTAACCCTCCTGCTTGATTGGTGGTTTCTCCTAAAAGGCACTAACTTTGAACGGTACTGAGCAAATTAGTTTAGTGAAAAACACAGAAAGTGAAAGAAGAAAGTGAGAAACCATCCTAAGATATTTAAGGCAAGGCAGTACAAAACAAGATCGTTAGTTCCTTTATTTGATCCATGAAATTAACACCTGGCTGTAGAACACTACCCTGTAAATATCAATAATTAAATCTATGCACATATGCACACTTATAACCAAAAAAATCATAACTGTTTTACCATAATCTAGCAGAGTGGCATGTATGTGTTGATCCATACGCCGATACGTGTTAAGATGCTAATCCAGACACCAATGTGCATACACACATACACACATACACACATACACACATACACACATACATACATACATACATACATACATACATACATACATACATACATACATACATACATACATACATACATACATACATACATATATATATATATATATATATATAGAGAGAGAGAGAGAGAGTTCCCCTTGGGAGTTATAAGGTCACACTAGGAACTACTAGAGAAAAGTAGAGCTCAGAAGAGCCAAGAACATGGATGCAAAGCCAAAACAAAATTTAAAACTAATAGATCAACTGCTCAAGATATATGTGTGTTTGCACACACACACACACACACACACTTAATTGCCTCTCTATTACCCCATTTCCTCTCAATTAGACAATTACTTGTTTTTTGAACCTCAGCACATATATATTCATCACCCCAAATCAAACAACCTTCAAACTGAGTGCAGCGACAAGCTAATTACCAAGACTAAACATTTTCTAAACAGTGCATCTAGCTTTGAGTTTGAAACTAATAAAATGTTTAACATTAAACCATATACAAGCAATGCATTCCTCAGCCTTGATAACTTCGTTCTGGTGTATGAACTTGTTTCTAACCCTCCAATTACCCCACGAAAAACGGAACATGATTTTCTAAGACTCAGAGTAAGGAGTCAAGAACAGAAACTAAGCTAGACTGCTAGAGAAGCCAATGCATGTTCTGATCACATGTCCGGTCTACATTCACTAAAAATCTAAAATTCATTAACGCGTGCATTTTCATGTTTTAGTTTGCACACTAAAGAACTCCTTAAAGGTATGTTTGGGAACTTGGATTTAGAAATAAAATCTGGATTTGACTCAAATTCCTTATTTGGGAAACTCAAAAATTTGGACTTGGATTTGAGTCAAATTCCTCTAATTCATAACAAAACTCAATTTGAATTCATATGCCTCCTCTTGTCATTTGAAATTCAAGAATTCAAATTTTGGAATTGAAATGCATGAATTGAAATGAAATGCTAGTCCCAAACACTACCTAACAGAAATTGAGGTGCACTGCCATCAACATGAATAAATAAGGAATCAAACTATGTGATGGATATCCGGACCCATTAAACAATTATAAACGGCAGTACGGAATGAGGATTGGTAAACGAGATACTAAAGGCCCGGTTCTCGTTGATCGGCCAGGCAAATAATATAGATCGTGGTAGCCCCAAGTCGTGGGAAGAACCGGAAGATCAAGGGTTGAGCTGTTAACCTCCACGATCGACATACTAGAGATAATGGCAACGATTTATGCGCACGACGAGTGCCCATCACGTATGTAACTGTAATGTAGTATAAATAGAGGGAGAACCCTCCATCGTAAACCAAGCAATTACAAGCACAGGCAAATTAATAGAAATACATTGAGAATCATTATTATTGATATAATTTTCCTAAATCCGTTCTTCGTCGCCATAGTTGTTGGGCTAAATCCCATCACTATGAGCCGAAAACCAGTGGAGAGCTAAAGGGTATGTTTGGATCCCTGAAAATGCTGAGAACAGTTTTGAAAACATGCCAAGGGAATATTGTTTTTTCTTACGTTTGATTTATCTTGGAAAATCAACTGCACATGTTTATAATTCTTAGTCAATAAAACAGGCTTAAATATATAAAACTAGCACCAACAAGTATGTAAAATACATTAACTAAGTTTTAGCTTATCTTCTTCTTTCCCTGCATTTACTTAGCTTCCAATTTTTCTGAGTTTACCTTCAGATTTAAATTTCCTAGGGAGTATTACTATCATGGTTTCCAAATGGGGACCCGAAAGGAAAGGTAACTAATGATTCAACAACAGAGAAGAGCCTTCAACACAATCACACGAGGCTTCGAGCATTCCATTACGAATTCAAAATTGTAACAATCGTGAACTGAAATTGAAATTCCGTATGAAAGAAACAAAGAGCCGGAAGTGAGATTACCTTTCTAAACGACGATTGTTCTCAGTGAGAGTGAGAAGCGGAGTCGGTGGATCCAGATTGAGAATGCGAAGGAGCATAGATCTTGTTGTAGGCGGCTTCGCCGGCGAGGTAGATGCCGAAGGCAACAAGGGCAATTCCGAGCCCAGGGACGGCGTGGCGGAGCTGATTCGACAGCATCGGGTGCTTCCTCCACTCGTCCCTCCTCCTGAAGAACTCTCCCGTCGGTCCAAGCGGCTTTGCCATTATCCGTCCGGTGGTTGTCCAACCTAATCGTCGGCGATGATTGATTTGGTGAGCTAGGGGCGAAGAAGGGAGATATTATGCTCCTTTTACTTTTTCTCCAGATGCCCAAATATGTCTAAAAAATCATATTCCTCTTTTCGGATTATTCGTTCAGTTTTGACTTTTGGAATTGTTTATCTAAGCACTTTTACTCATCAAATTCTCTCAATGTGTAAGTCTAAATATAGTCATGTGTGATCTTCTTTGATTTATCTTAACATATAGATTATTGATATATAATTTCTATGATTTTTTAATATAGAATTTACAAGATAAAATGGATTAAAGAAGTGTATTGAATGGTGTGTAAAAATGAAAGTGGATAAATACTTTGGGACGGAGGTAGTACTTTGTTTTTATTCTCAATTCACCAAAGTTTGAATCATAAGTGTCTAGCGTATATTATGCCTTGAGACTAGACCTGCTCATAGTGCGGGCTAGCCCGGGTTTTGGATCGGGCAAAGACGCTACATTCCAAGAGTTTTCTAAGTCCGGCCCACATAGATACCGGCGGGCTTCAAGTTGGCCTGGTCCGCATGACAAAAAATTTTAAATAATTAACAAATAATTTTTTTAAAAAATTAAGTAATGTGTTAATATAATAGATTTTGATATAATAACTATAACAATGAGTAAATGAAAAAACATGTAATATATAAATGTATTTTATTTGATATTGTTACTATGTACGAAATACAAAATATTATTTATTAGCTATACCATTATCAAAGTGTGATACGTAGTAAACAATATATAATAATAAAGATATATTAATGTTATCAATTATACTTCTAATTCATTTTTTTCTTCATAGAAGTATGTGTGTGTTTATAATAATTTGAAATAGTATTGTTCTTTTCATTATTTTTAATTTTAATTTTGTTATTATTATTTTATTATAATTAAACTAATAAAAAGAATTATAATTTATACGGGTCGGGCCGGCCGTGGGCTTGAGCATAAAACCCAAGCCCGACCCTAAAACATCTGGGGCACCATTTATAACGCCCAAGTCCGGCACGTGCCATAAAATGTCAAGCCTTAACCCATTATTTTGCAGGCAGGACAGATACCCGAGCCCGTGATCGGGTCTTGAGACCTCTACATTAGCATTCTCCAAAGTCAATCAAAGCACCCTCAATAGTTTCAATTATGTCTAAAAAGTCATATCTTGTTCAGGGTGTCAGTTCACTAACGTTGCTTGAGTGGTAGGAAGTCCACTTTCCAAAATTAATGGGAAGTTCACCTAGGTCGAACCCCATGGAAGGTGGAAGCAATGGCTCTTTGTGCCTCAATAAGTTAAGAATAATATGAACAAATACTACCTTGTAATAGAATCAATAGCATTTAAAAAAACCTTAATCAAAATTTGATCTATAAAAAAATTATGTGACTTCAAAAAAAAGGTAGTGTCGCATTGTAAATAGATAAAATAATATACTCTCTCTTGTTTCAAAAATCTTCTTTTGTTGATTTTTTAGATCAAACAACGCCGCTTTTTGACCAAAAAATTAAATACAATCTAAATAAATAAACGATAAAAATTTGATATATCAAAACTATATGAACCCAATAATATTGAATTTGTATTATAATTAAACATACTTTTCTCATTATATATGGTCAAAGAGTGTTTCTTTTTTTCAAAAAATCAAAACGGAAAAATATTTTAGGAACAGAAGGGGTTTATAAAAAAAATTGAAAATAATCTAATAAAAATATTTTTATATCAATATTTAATATTATCGTCGCTATTTAATGTATGATTAAAAGATATTAATTTTGACTCTAAAATGTTAAAATTGAAAAAAATATTTCTAGACGAAGGCAGTATAATATTTCATGAGAATTTTATATTTGACACGTTCTTTTTAATGAGATAACTAAGGGCTTTTTACTTCTTTGCATGTAATTTTATTGCTTATGATTTTATTAGAATAAGTTCTACTTTAATCTAATTTCATTGTAGTTATATTTCAAGTTGTTTTTTATCTACCCCGATCTGATACGATCTGATTACAATAAGAATAAATAATACGGAGTAAGTAATAAGAATAAGTTGAAGAAAACAAGATCTAAATCCATTCTACTTCTTTTTTTCTAGTTTAGTTTAACTTTTTGAGTTAAATGAAATAAAATTTTTATTATTAATTATTTCAAATTTATATTGCATATTAATACAATAAGATAGTATTTCGAAAGTTTTCTACCATTTGACTTACTAAATCTTAATACTATGTACCTTATACTTTGTATTACTTTATTAAATATTTTTACAAAATGGTTCTTTTGACCATAGGTTCTCGGGTCATATTATGACCCAGGCCCCTACGGTGCTCTGTTCGTAAAATTGATGATTCTTACCACTACCCCTACTTGATCACCCCACCCTAGCTAGCACCCCATGTCCCCTTTCCCTCCGCCATCTGCGGATTGGCTACATGGTTTAGGGTTTAGGGGTAGGGGTAGGGTTTTGGGGGGTAGAAACCATCAATTTTACGAATGGAGTTTCGTATGGGCCTCGTGTCATAATATGACCCGCCAATATTTTTATGATATTACATAATCTTGACACTAAGTATCTGGAGGAGGGTTTAGTGTTCTATGTCAGAGTCAACATTAAAAGTTAAAATCAATGCACATCCATCCACTGCCTAAGAGAGATAAGGTTTTGTACCTTGGTTGAGTCATTCAGGAGTTTCTGTGTGATAAAAAGATTTCAGAAAGGTTGAAAGGTAGGTTTTATCAGTTGGTAGTGAGACGTGTAGAAATTTAGCGGAAACTGTTCTGCATTTCATTACTCACGATACGATATATATATACAAGTACATGATGGGCTTAAATGTACAGGCCCGATAACACAATATTTACGACCCAATTACAAATACCCGCTAACACTCCCCCTCAAGTTGGCGCATGAAGATCTTGAATGCCCAACTTGCACAATAAAAAATCAAAGACTGGTTTTGATAGGGGTTTAGTAAAAATATCTGCTAACTGGTAGCGTGTAGGAACATATCGTGTAGACACCTCACGCCGCTGAACAGATTCGCGAACCGTATGACAGTCAACATCAATATGCTTCATACGTTCGTGTAACACTGGATTTGCTGCAATATATAAGGCTGATTGATTGTCGCAATACAGCCGTGGAGGATATAAAATGGGGACGCCTAACGCGCCAAGAATACCGTGCATCCAACGTATCTCCACGCATGCATTGGCCATGGCTCTGTATTCGGCCTCTGCAGATGATCGCGCCACAGTGATCTGTTTCTTAGTCTTCCAAGACACAGGAGAATTACCAAGCATAATAAAATACCCGCTAACCGACCGCCGGGAGAGTGGGCAACTTGCCCAATCAGAGTCACAATAAGCAGTAATTTGAAGATTACTCGTGGCACTAACGAAGATACCTTGACCAGGGTGACCTTTGATATAACGTAGGACACGCATAGCGACATTCATGTGATCAAGAGTAGGTGCCTGCATAAATTGAGATAACACATGAACAGAGTAACAAAGATCAGGACGGGTGATGGTGAGGTAAATCAAACGGCCGACCAAACGACGGTAGCGCGCTGGATCGTGGAGGAGAGGCGCTGCCGAAGTGGAGAGACCATGCGCCGTCGGCAGTGGTGTCCCCGCCGGTTTACATCCTAATAGACCAGCCTCCTCTAAAATCTCCAGTGCATATTTGCGTTGACAGAGAACCATACCAGCCGGAGATCGAGCACATTCGTATCGTGAGTAATGAAACGCAGAACAGTTTCCGCTAAATTTCTATCATGGTATCAGAGCCAGGTTTAGCCCACCTCGTTTGTGAAGGTGTCCGTCTAGACATTCATTCCTAGCGGCCCGTTAGTCTTTAGCCCAGTTGTCCGTCTGGAGGTTGTACCCAACGGCCTGTGGCCTGTTTAACACGATTGCTCGTCTGGAAGTCCATACCCAGCGGCTCGTGGTCCTTTAGGTGTTGGCACTCAAAAAAAAATCAAGGGAATGGGAGTCCATTTGCAAGTGGTCAACCGGTTAGATTCAAAATGGCTCGGTTGTCCACTTGAGGGGGAGTGTTAAGAGTACGTATCCCACATCGGAAAAGTGTGAAGAAAATTATCGGTATATTAGCTCTAGAGTTGAACTAACTAATCGATTGGATTCAATCTTTTAATGTGGTTCAACTCAAGTGTCTTATTGCCCAATCCAGCTGTTCGTACCCATCCCAAATTCTATCAAGACGAACTATGCTTTATGGTGTGGAGTGTTAGACGTTTAAGAAATCCCAAGTCCGTCTAATGCATGAGACTTAGATGTGTATGCTGCAATTGATGTGTGACATACGAGGTTTGATAAAATCAAGAATGAGTTTATCCAGAGACATGTGGCGCGTATGGAAAATAAGTTGCGCGGGACTAGGTTGAGGTGGTTTTGGCGCGTGAAGCGACGTGAGACTAAGGCTCCTGTGCAGAGATGCGAGATGCTTACAATAGTAGTTGGTCTATGGAATTATGGAAAGTGGAAGACCTAGAAAAAATTAGAATGAGATTACTCCCTCTGTCCCAAATTAATACTCCTTATTTTCTTTTTGGGTTGTTCCACATTAATCTTCTTCTTTCTTTTTTTGGTAAGCTTTTTGTGACTCAATTTTTTTTCTTTCCTTTGCATCATTTTCAACCACACAATTTCACTTTTTTAAACTTTGTGCAAAGTTAAACTAGGAGCACTAAATTGGGACGGATGGAGTACTAGACATGACTTAAAACTTCTAGATTTATTTGGCCTTTTACCAAGAATATGACCTTAGATAAGAACGTTTGAAGATACAGGAAAGTGGGCTCTTTGCACCTTAGATAAGAACCTTACCCATTGTTTGTCTTTGACCCTTTGTTGTACTATCCATTAGTTGTGTTGCTTGAATTGGGAGTTTCGTAGAAACAATCATTTTATTTTTAGTAAGAGTAAAATCTGCGTATACACACTCTTCGAGACCCTGTTATTGCAAGATTTAAAAAGAATGAACCCCATTCATGAGGGTCCCTTAGAACGAGCCGGCCGGATGATATATTGGGCTTAATCGCATATTAGTGACAAAGAGTAGAGTTTGCATTTGGTATTTGCAGATGTCATATGCTTGGTATAGTTATCTCCCCACGCAATTGCCAGAAATCAAACTCAGATATTACCCCATGTGCATCCCTTCCCTTGCCAATTACGCAATACTTACTGACACTATTATGAGATTCAAGTAGATTATTAAATTATTCTTGTTGTTGTTGTACTTAGGGGCTGTTTGTTTCAGCCTCTTAATGGTTCAGATGTCTGAATGGTTCAGCACTTAATGGTTCAGACTGTTTGTTTCAGCCTCTTAATGGTTCAGATGTCTGAATGGTTAAGAGATTTGCCTCTGAATGGTTAAGTATTATACAGAGTCTGAATGGTTAAGACCTCTTATCTGAATTGATCAGACATTTTCCTCTGAATAGTTAAGCAATATACTAGCTCTTAATGGTTCAGACCTCTTACTGGTTCAGCACTTAATGGTTCAGACCTCTTACTGGTTCAGCACTTACCCATTCAGAAGTTGCCAAACAGCCCCTTAATCTCAATACCAAGTATCATTAATTCACATAATTTTTCATACTCCGTATTACTTTTCCCTGCCAGATTACTTTTTAATCACTTATCACATGGATTATAATTTTATAGCGCACCACATTAATACATTATCCTACGGTTTTGATATACGCCGTACTATATAGAGAGTGTTTTTACATAGTGCTGGACTGTACTATATTGCTAGTTACATTATTTTTTTTCTTGTTTTACACTCTAGAAGCAGGAGAATAACTTGTTGATTTCTATTTTTTAAAAGGATAATGCTACTTGCACCCCAAAATTACCCCAATTTGTACCCCAAAATAAACCCCCCCCCCCACCACCTTACACGTGCAAGTACCCCCCCACACCATCGAAGTAATCCCCCACCCCCATTTCCCCACCTAATTCCTCTGCATCCTCGCCTAATTCCTC